GAGAATTCCCTGAATGAAATCTGTTTTTACTCTAAATAATACTTGTACCCGCAGTAACTCATTAAAGGAGTATTCCACACAAACTACTACTAGCTTCAGAGGTGTTGGCCTCCCAAAGGACTGTTTGTAGTTTTAAAGACTAAATTCATGAAGCAGTACTTTCAAACTAATTATAGATTAAAACAGTTATTCAAGGCAAAATACTGTTTTATCAGATTGGATGAACTTTATTGACCTCTCACTTGGAAAATGTCCATTTTCCAGCAGCTGGATCCAAATAAAGCCAAGTAGGAAACAAGAAAAGAAATACAAAAGTACAATAAGGATAAAAATGAACATAAAATAAAGAATATGTTCTCCTCTCACATGTACAGATGAAGACTGATGAGTCTACATGTAGATATGTACAGGTGTGACATGATGAATCTACATGTGGATATTTCCTTTCCTGATCAGATCCTCCCTCCTCCACTGTAGAATAATCAGGTTGTCTGATCACCTGGTGCTTCCAGTCCTTCACTGATTTGTTCCCAGGATATATTTTTCCAACCCAAACACGTCTCCGCTCCCTTCACAGTCTGTGTTTGACTTGATGGCTCCAGTTAATTACACACTTTAGGATTGTATCTCATCGGGAGCTGAAGCGTTGGAATGATTCTGTAAAATGTTCCAGAGGATAATGTTCAGAAATGCTCCCATTTAACTAAAACGCACCAGAAACTGTTCCTTCAGGAAGACGTTTCCGGTTTCTCCCTCGTTGCCCTGACAACAGTGATGTCACGACTCTTCCTTTTCTCCAATTCAGTTTCACTTTTACCGTTTTCGTGTCACAGCTTGTTTTCTCCGTCTGAAGGTGAGTAAATGACGCTTGAACCTCTTTTGTAGCCGCTGTTAGTTTAGTTCCAGCAGCAGAAATGTGGCTCCACAGCTCCGCTAACATTCAGCTCCAGCTCTGACTGGACTCATGCGGCAGCAGCTCCGTGTCGCTCCGTCCTGGAGCCAAAAGTTGTCCGTCAGCGGCTGAAACCTCAGAGAGTCAGAGTGAAGCAGCCCGACAGGCCTGCAGCTCCACACGGTGAAGGAAACGTGTTTTCTACGTGTTAACTTTATTAAACCTGGTGGACAGTTTAAAGTGTTCATGCTGTTTGAAACCCACTTTCTCATCAGTGAGACCAGCGGCTTCAACAGTTCAGCAACTTGGAGCTTCACGGACCCAAACGGTTCTGTTGTCCGACCGGCAGAGAGCGAAGACGAACCCGGCAGCAGAACCCTGAACACGGTCAGTTTAAGAGAACTTCTACACTTTATTGTTGAAATATTAGCAGCTTGAGGTTGGTTGTATTTAACTGTAAAATATTTTAGTTAATATCTGACGTTTCATGACCAGCTAACATTAGCCAGCTAACGGACATTAGCTAACTAACGACAGCATGCTAACTAACAAACGTAGGCTAATAAAATAAAATAAAACACTGCATATTTAACTTTTGCTGGGTTAAAATAACTTGAAGAATAACATCAACTTTACTAAATGTTTGCTAACTTCATCACAACATGATTTTTTCTATTTGTTACATCAAAGCTAACGTTAGCTGATTTGCTAAATAACTACTAGAATCTTCGCCCCAAAACATCAAAGAGACGCTTAATACACAATTTGTGTCCCAAAATTACAGCTTACCTTTTGTTAAAATATGTTTTTACGTACTTTGCTCTACGACTTCAAATCTGTATGGCCACAAAATGAAATTACCACAATAATAAAAACCTATTGTGATGAAAACATACACAATGACACAAGTGCTCAATGAATCCACTCTGAGAAACACAGCGAGTGTATTTGACTGTTTACAAAAGTCTGACTAATTACAGACCCTTCACAATTATTAATTAGGCTAATTTATTCAACTTATTTGAATATTAAGATTCAGAAACTACAACATTAATTTTACTAATTTACCTGACATATAAATATTCAGAGAACTCTGAGGATTCAGATAAAAACTCAGGATGAGGGGCAGGTGAGTGAATACAACAACTAACGAGTGGTTTTGTGTTTCTGTGTGAGAGACTAAAAGTGACGCCTTGAAACAAGTTTCAGGTTAATTATTAAGCTGATTGTTGACTCTGACTGTACTTGTAGGGAAATAAAAGTTATATGACTGGGAGGCTTGATTCATTTAGACCGACATGTTCTTCAGGCTGCAACCAGGTTTCAGTGAGACAATCAATCTGCTGTTTCCGTGTCTGATATGAGAATGATAAAGAGCTGATCTTTGAGCTGTGCAGGTTCAGACTGGTTTGTGCTTTGAGGTGTTTGGGTTCCTGC